ATCTTCTAAGACCTGATGTGGACCAGACCAGATGTGGACCAGAGCGTTTTTTTGTCTGCACCTGAAATGCACCCCACTGTATTTGTATGGTGTTTCTGGGCTCTGTTCACACCAGTGTAGTCAATTCCGGTGCAGGGGAAAAAATACTGCATGTCCTATTGCACCAAAACACATGCAAACGCTCTGAAATGCACCGCACCTGAAACCCCATTTTAAGCTAAAAAAAATGCATAAAAATGCAGCAAAACGCACTGCATATATAGAAGCACATCCAGATCTGGTCCAGACATTATGTGAACAAGCCCTTAAGGTCAATAGACTACAGTGGACCGATATTTGACATCAGTTCCCATCCCTTTCTGTCCTGGTAGCCATGGTCACCAGGACAACTGGTGAGAGTGAATCTCCCCTGCAAGACCTCATATGGGTTACTTATAACCCTTCTCCACTTTGTCTACAAAAAAAAAATGTTTTTGGTTTCGAAACACTTAAAGGGGTTATAAAGCCTCCGTTTTTTTTTTGCTTATATCTACTGCTATCAAGCAGTGGATATAGGCAAAACGTTTTCTAAACGCTTTACCAGCGGTTTACACTTACCTTGTTTTGGCTGCGCGCTCCCGTCCGAGAAAACTAAACTGCTCCGGCGGCCGCAAAGCATCTTGGGACGTGCGCATGCGCAGTTCGGATTCTCGGCCGGGAGACGAGCAGAGACGCAAGGTAAGTCTATGGACGCGTGCACCCGCATGCAGACACCGCTGGATCGGAAGTGCCTTCAAGCACAGAGGAGTCAGCGCTGGATCGGAGAGCTGCCGCACCGCTGGAGGGACAGATGAAAACAATAAGGAAAGAAGAGGAAGATCGGATTAAGAGACATCATTTAAGGTAAGTGCTGACATTAACATTGGGGGGAGGGGAAACAAATTATCCTTTAATGTCACTTTAAGGAATTGGCTCATATAATTTAGATAGTTAAAATAATAAACTTCCAATGACGTTTTGAAATCATCTAAATATTAAATGGAAAGGCAAATTCCACTTCAGGTTCATGTCCATATCACAGCAAGAGGAATTGCTCATGTCTTCTGACCTCTTCCCAGTCCCTCTGGCTGTAACAGTGCAATTAACCAAATGGCATTAGACACATTGCTTGGCTTCATAGCTTTGCTTTGTGTCATGCTGTGCAAAAGCTGTCTCACCAACACAATTAGGGGGGGGGAGAGCTCAGTATACGATAATAGCCTAAGGCATATGTGTCACCTACTCTGAGATGAAGGCGCTTTTTATGGTCTGAATCAATATATTAATAAGATGAGGGCCTGTCTGCTTACTGAGAACTGATGACTGATGAGTGAATGTTTCCTTTGCTCCTGTTGCTCTGTTTTGTCTATCTTGTCCTGTCTATTCTATTGAACTCATTATACTCTCTATTACCTACAGTAACAGTATAAAGAGGAGTGAACCACCCATGCCAATACACAAGATTGATGACCGTCTGGAACAGTACACACATGCTATAGAGGTATATGACTACCAGCTTATAACAAGTGAGAACATGTTAACATGTCTTAGTGATGCCAGTAGGTCTGAGGAATCTAGCTGGGATTGTACCAGAATCAAAATTATTTTACTCCCCCCC